TTAAACATTCCCTGAATTACCACAAATATTTCAAGAATACAATTAACCAAATCGGTCTAACCGTTGTCAAGTTTTAGCGATTTATATATATTTATAGATAAATTATTAATTAAATGTATGTAATAATATATATAAGTATTTATTAAGCTTCAAGTAACATAATAATTTATTAAAATTTAAGAAAAATTGTAATTCTTGATTAATAAGAAATCCTTTTAACTGCAGCATCCACTATGACATTGTCTTTCTAGCTACGATACAAAATAGAAGACAATTACAATAACGGTATGCTCTTTAATTTCATAAAAAGAAATTCAGAAGATTCAAATGCATATCCTGAAATATTGACAACGTTTTTAATTAGTTAGACGAGCCTTCATAGAACTGCAAAAAATACGATTATGGTATGAATAAAAGGCGAAAAATACACAAATAATTTGAGATGCTGTATTAGCGCTAAAGCTCAAACTAAACAATGAAAATATGTTCACTAAAAGAAATGTTTCTGCTAGTGAGAAGTACATGTAAAACATATCTGTATATTAATTTGCTACTATGACTATAGACATGACATAATGAACAACGAATAACCTATACTATAAGCAATAATTTTTATTAATTAACATCCAAGGAGAAAGACAATATTTTCATAGTAAAGAAACCGTGCGATAGAATTCGTAGGCAACATCTGGAGTGATTCGGACATCCCCTTGTCTCCAGATCAAACTCTCACTTACACAGCGAGTTTAGTTTTGTTATTTGGATATAATTTAAACAGTTCGTACAACTTTCATCCCTTATAATTATTTATTCACTTAATCAAATAGAAAAAGGTTAAACAAAAATAGAAAGTTTTTATAGCAATTATGTACATGTGCATTGTTAGATACTCAAAGTGTATCTAACAAACAACAGAGGTCGGAACTCTAAAGTCTTATCAGTTTACAATCATGTAGATACTGATATGAAGCACTTCATTTACTTTAACGCTGTCGCAGATTCTCTGTCTCACAGGATTAGCTAGCTTACAAACTCAGGATATACCTTCAGAATCTTAGTCACCTTAGAAACCGAAAATTCTGTATGTTTTGATGCTGATGGCAGCCGTTGTGTATCGATGACACAATAGTAGATACAATATTACTTGTTTTTTTTTGTTGTCATTAATGTGTCACCTTTCTGTATAACTGGTATTATTCTACGTCTTAAATGCAAGAAAACTAACTGTTTTAATATAAGCTAAGCGACTAATTTAAATAGCGGAACGGAATGTTACTCAGTACTTAACAGTTGGTAAAGGAAGACTTTGTTGCCAGATCTGGATGACCATACATAACATTGTTTGCATCTTTCTCTGACAAAACATGGAGACAAATATATAGACAAAGTGTTATTCCCATCAAATTTCTGATTACTATCTAGTAAAATTTGTATGGGCATATCCTTCGTCTTATCAAATTTTGAATGATGAAACACAAAGTAGGTAAAATAAAATCTTTTCGGTTTTTACTTCCTAGTCTGGCTCAACCTATTTTCATAAGAATTATTATTACCTCCATAAGCATAAGAAATAATATTTCTTTCGTAACTTTTTAATTAATAAATCGAGAATTTGAAATACCCAACTTTTGTTATTTAACGCCAACAAAACCCAAGCATGTATTTTTTTCCTTCAATTGGGATCTTTTACTTAAACTACTGGGCCTTTAACTACAGTATTTCATAATTTTTTGGGAGCTGAAGAACCGATTTCAGTTATTATCTATTGAGGTATACTCAAACATTAACTTTGGGTAGACCGTTAAGTAGAGAAAGTAAAAAAAAATGTCTAAAGTAATGGAATAATCTTTTTGTCTTCATACGTATGAAAAATATTATTAGAATCTTATTATGTTATAATCTGAATATCTGCAAAAATAACTAACACTGAAACGTTATTGTAAACGTTATTTCAATTTTTTTTCTCCCATTTTAATTTCCCTATACTACTAAGAGACGGGGCAGTAGTCACTACTCTACAATTGCATTTCAGGCGATTAGAGATAATGCCGAAAGTTTGTAATTCCTCTCCAGATTTCAGAAATCTTTAGTGCTTATTCATGGGTGGCGCAGTATACTGACTAACAGATAGAAACAAGAGAATACTACCAATCAATTCCATCGAATAAGACTAGCGTTTAACTAATAAAAAGGACATACAATAAATTGTCGCACAAATTACCTGTAGTACAAATTTTGACAGTAATGATTAATAATTGTACTAATTAAAATACCACCTTTATTTACTCGTCAAAGAATAATTGTATGTTGTAATTAAATGTGGTTCACCTTTCTATAGAATCGCATATTTTTTTTTGCGGTATTTTAAAATAGTACAGTACATTTAAATTTGAAAAAATGAAGGCAAAATACTATAAGACCTCATTAACACATGCAACATTGACACATCCCACTTAACGCTTTATTGAACATCACTGATTAACATAAATCAATTTCGAATCTGCATTTATTACTATGTATTTAACATTGGTAAAAATTTTCAATCAGTGAATTTCGTGCTCATTTTATCCGGAAGTGTTCGCAGTATTGTATGTAGGATATAAATATTGTTTACGTCAGTCGGTTGTTATTCAAATTCATGTGAATTCATGTTGCAAACTAGATCGGAGGATAGTAAGCTTTTAACTGTACTTGGCCCAGGCACAACATTCTAGATTAGTCTATATCGGGACTTCAAATCCCGCTTAGTCGTTACAAAACCACTAGCTGTTTATTGTTGTTAAAGTTCAACAACATCCATGATCTTTGATTATTAATTCATTTAACGGCCATTCACATTTTCGCCCGAGGAAATTTATAAGATTTATTTTTATAAAATTAAAATACTTTAATGTAAATAAGCTTTTATACAATCTACAGAGTTATTGTCACTTTAAAAATAAAAATGAGACATATCTTTGTAACAACCATATAAAAATTCACACTAAATTTTATGTAGTAACATTAACATTTTACATAAAGTACATATAAATTATAATGTATTTAAGAGGAAAGTGAGTAAGTTAGTTTAGTTCAGAGGGGATGCAGGAAATACTATAAACAATGTCTAATCTTACTCCGTTCTCCGTTACATTTGCTGAACAAACAAGAATGTTTGAGCAGACAATAGCTAAGTACAATAATTGCGCGCCAAGAGGCCGGTGGAGTCGCGGCTTGTTGGCATAGAGTCCCGCTAAGCCCTACCTATGTGTGACTAATGTTTGACTATGTTAATCAGATGTTAATAGCAGCGAGAAGCTCCACGTAACTAGATCATCCGCCTCGTTCCATAGCCGATCGGTCATCGGACCGCACTCGAGTAGTTTATGTACAAAAGCCTTCTAAATAAACATTGGCCTCAACTTTGTTTGAAATTGGAATATGCACGATTGAGTGTGCAAACAACGGCCAGTTTAATAATTAGGGTTGCTTTAACGAGAAAACGACTAGATAGTTTCCTGAGAGAAATATTCCTTCAAGTAAAAAGGAATTATATTCTCAGTAGTCGCATATACATAGTGATAATCGCTGCTTGCTAAATTAACTATCGTTATGGATAAAAATTAATATTAAACTATAATTTTTAAAACAATGTTTTTTTATTTAAAAGTTTGTTTTATTTCAATATTTTATGATGATTCATTAAAAACCTTTCAAGTCACAAATAATATTGATTAAAACAAAATTTAATAAAGCTTATAATAATAATCTACTAATTAATTTTATGCGTCGTTGATTAAAATGTGTATGAATTTGAAAGCCATGGAATGCTATTATTGTTTTACTACATCCATTTTACTTTTATGGCTTTGTGTTAGCAATGATATATTATCTTTAATGTTTGTTTAAAAGAATAACGGCTGACGTACACAAGTTGAGCGATGCCATACAATGTATTAAAAATTTTTCACAGCGTTGTGATTTTGTAACTTTTAGAAAAATGTGTAACGGCCAAAGGAACATTACCAGTGTTTACAAAAACGTTTTTAAATGGTAACTCCACTGTTAGTTTTAATGTGTGATGTTACGTTTGCGTTGAATATTCTTGGCAACTTTGGTTATGCAACTATGCTTTTTTGTAGCTCGTAACATATGGATGTCTTTCTTCTTTTAGTTGTAGTTATATTTCATATATGGTAACTTGTTATTGTGGATAGTTATAGATAGATTGAAAATTTATTATTTATACCTATCAGAGGTATTATCGAGCATAAATAGCAAAAAATATACTCAAAATCGTTACAACTTTAAGACATTCAGATTAGTTTTATGACATTTGAAAATCTAAATACATATTAAGTTACTTTTTTTACTGTTATAATATGAGTAAGGAAGATTTAAATTATCATTTGTAGGTTAGTAGACCGAACGTGTGCGCTCATTGTCCGAGGCTGGATTAAGATTTAGTTAAAGAGTTAGCCGCAAAAGCTATTATGATTCAGAATGTGTCCCGAACAGCTAGAATATTCAAACTTTTAATTTGATTCAATTTGGAAACCCGAATCCTCCCTTTTCATACCAAAGCTTATACAGAATCACACTGCAGTTACACTCGTATATAGAGCATTTTCCATTTACTAATTGACAAAAATCTGTATAAATGATTTTGTAATTTTTTATGTTTATATTAAATGTAAGCTTAATAAATTCTGTAAAGCCATGTCACAGGGTGTTAGCTTTAATGGTCTTAAATATTTGTGTTATTGACTCTGCGTACGCTGACTATGTAAGACTTCTTCATATTAATGTCGACGGCCGCTATTAAAGTGTCGTGTGTTACAGACAACAAAACTTAAACAAACCGACCTGCATTTTTCTGCTCTCATAAATAACGAATTACACAAGAAAGCTGTTTTGATAACAATACGTTTTCAAGAATAATTCATAGCCGTTGCATTCATATGAAAGGAGCACGTACTCTGTAACGTACGGCCCAATTTTGGCGCACAATTTACCTGCAGATGCAACGAGCACAAAGAGGCTATATTTTTGAGAAAGGCGCGGGAGGTAAGCGGGAGTGCGGGGGCGAGGAGCACGATGGGCTCGGATTACAGCGGCCATCTGCCACTGAACAGTACAATCAACCTAACGAGTGCGTTTGCGATGGATTAAAGCCTAATACCGCTGCGAACAATGCCGCTGGCGCCCTTTATCAGCACATTTAGACGCTAACAGATCGCTCGTGTCACTACACTGGCCCTGCCTCTTTGTAGCTAATCCTAAGTGGATTATTTATATCCTTTACATCGTAAAAACATGACCCCAATTGCTTGTCTTTAATAATTTATGTAAATATTTATAAAAGTTTGACAAACATATTAATCGTTGCTTTTTCGTGGTTACGAATTTGTATTAAATGTTTGAATTTATTTGAAATATTGACAATAAAAATTTAAAAAAATTATTATTAAACTAAGCAACTGGTATAATTTCGAATAATTGAATCAAAATAATTCAAACAAGTTGAATAAGATAATTACTACTAAAAAATAATAATGTATATTTCTAATATTCTTTTTAAAATAATTTTAACACTCATAAAGTTTAGGAAACTTTATTCGCTTGTCGCTGAGAAAGCGGTGAAGACGAAACAGAACGCGTACCCCACAAGAGCGAACGTGATGTTAATGTTTATCAATCCGTTTGATTTATACGGAGAGGATCTCTAAAATATGATATAAAATAAACATTGACAACCAAAACGATGAAATACGATGTATCGTTGTGATTTAAGGGCGCGTTTCACGAAATTTTATGGTGCTATAAAATCAGCCCGTACCGTACTGCTCACGTACTGCACAGATTTGACAAAACAGACGGCGGACATTTATTTGTTCGCTAGTTTTTTTGCAAGTTTTATGGACTTGTGCCAACGTTATATTGCCTCAACAACGGACTATTACGTTTGACAGTGTAAAAATTGAGCAGCCGATTTGATTTCTCTTTCAACAACCGGACAAATTTTTCATTTTAGTGCTAATACATTGTAAACATTTCTGGCGGCTTTTATTGAACTGTTGAAGTTTAAACATATACTTGTGGAGTTATGTTCAGTCTATTGTTTTAAGTAAAATATGAAATTTGAAACTAAAACTAATAAATAACCAATATGAAATGTAAAATTAAAACTTTACAATTCAAGTTTGTAGATGGATTCAAATGATTGCGATAATCTTCTACTTTTTTCGTTTGAACAAAATTACTTTCACAATAATATTGTTCAAGGTTTATGAGAGTTGCTAGTTAAAAAGATGTTAAAAATATATAAAGTCAGATATGCCAATAATGCCCTTGTTGTATTTACATAAAGTGTTCTGATTATTATTTAGTGTAGCACACATATACGCCATGTGTTTCAGTTACGGAGTTAGGATGTAGGTTTGTTTATAGTAGACATATGTATAATTAAAAAATAATTTATGCTTTGATTAAAACAAAAAAAAAACGTAACTTTTAAATGTTTTTATCCTTTTCTAGTAAAATATTGTAAAAATATAAACATATGTGGTGGTAATAATGTTCACTTAAATATCAAGTTTAAATTAATAGAAAACATATTAGGTTAGACTAAGCTTTATTACTTTAAAATTGGTATTTCTTGAACGAATTTATTATAGACATTTTTACATGAAACAAGAAAGATGTTAAATTTTTAATAAGCTGATCTAATTCTTCACTACCGCTTAAGTAATTTGAACAAAGTAATTGACAATTTCCGTTTTTCACAGTTCGAAGTTTTCCGCAAATGGTTTTCTGTAGAACTCGACTTTTTAAAACATTGAATAAAATTTTATAATGGATAATAAAGAGAAAGAATATAAAAAATACTGTACACGGAGTCACAAGTCAAGCTGTATGTATTTTTACAATTGTTCAGCACGTTTAAAAGCGCGCTATCAACGGCGTAATGTTTTTAACTGAAACAATGAAATAATAAATGGGACTGCAAAAACCAATATGGAGGAAGAGAACTTGTTTTCAATGTTTGCAAAAAAAAAAAAAAAAAAAACAAAATAAAACTAATACCTCGTTTTATAGAAAGGGTAATTCAATATTTCACCGTAACAACCGTTGTATTGATTCCGACTCGATGTTCCCTGAGAAAATTAATTACCCGCACAAACCAACACTTTCACATTGATAAATTTTTAAAACTCCATATAAATGAAACGAAGACAGTTGAGAAGTTTTAAACTATTGGAGATATAAATTTAGTGCATTCAGAAGTTCTGAACGTTGTCTTAGTTATGATAGTTGGTCGTGGGCAGACACATTAATAATCATCTGAAATTGTTCCATGGAAACCATAAAAGAGGGAACTAAAATTATTACGGTCGACGCGTAAAACATTTCTGCTTTAATTTTGTTTAATATTCTCATCTTTTGATTTTTTCGCAAGACAACAAACAGATCGTGTGGTGTAAACGAAACACATGCAATAATTAGGGCAAGTAACGGATCAATATTGTCTAGTTCAATGAAAAAAAATTAATGCTCAGTTAGGTCTTATTTAGAGTAACGGTCGATATCCAACGGAAATATTGCTATCCAATTTTATACCAAACATTAAAATGGTCCGATAGATTTTAATATAATTTGTGTTGTTTCCACCCAACATTCAACCGATTGTTATTGCGATGTATGTTAAAATATTTTGTAAAAACTATAGTAACCTCTTAACAATAACTATTTGAACAAGATACCAAAACAACCTTTCAAAAACATATCACCTTTTGAAATCTGTATGAGTGAAATTTTAAGTGAAACTACTATCCTGAAATAACTCAAAGGATACTTTGTTTTAACTGATACTATAAAAAGAATCCGACTTAAAACAATTACCCGAGAGAGACGCTAACGAAGTGTTTTAGAAATGTTTGCAGATCAATCAAGATCTCTTGTTGGCGATCATTCATTCAATCTTATCCTGTTTGCAAATATTTATTCGACTCTATCTCTCAATGTGTTTTATTTATTTTTCTATGTTATTTATGTGTATCGCCATATACATATATTACTGTGAGGTACAAATTATATGTTTATTACATTTTGATGAATGATTCAATACATATGTGATAAAATGTTTCTGATAAAATATTTTCCTTATTTTTATATTTGTAACCTGATAATAATCTCGAACTTCGGTACAGTAATATCTTTAATAATCTACACAACAGAAATATTTCAATATTCATAATATATACTTTATTTTTGATTGATTGTGTAATCGTGTAATTGTATAATTTTATTAAAAATATTGTATTAAATGGTTATAAAAGATCATTCTTTACTTAAGCACCCTAAACCTATTGTCGCATTACGTCGATAAATAATTTAAAATAAACCTTCACAGCGTTATCAAAATTTCCACTTCAAAATATCTCTCTCGTGTAAAAACCATATTTTTTAAATGGATTTAGTATACCAAATAAAATTAAAAGTTCTATTTTTATAAGCAACTCGACGTTGTCACTTCTGGATTCATGATTTTATTGATGCATCATTTTAAATTACAACCATTTTTACAAACTAGGTTTGGTTTTAAGCTTTTCTTAGGTTGAAGCTATTTCTATTTTTATTCTAAATCGGGCTATTTTTATTTAAAAAATGTCTATATGATTAGTAAAAAGTGTTGTCTTATAACTATGTATAAGGCCTTAATAAATAAAAACAGCACATGTACAGGAATTAAGATTGACAAAAGTTTTTCATAATATTATGGAAATGATGATAAATTAAAAATATATATATTTAATTCAATTCGTTCAGAGATTTTCATCTCGTTTGATCATGATCACGGTTACTTCATGGTAACGGAAACGTTAGTAGTGCGTAGTATAAAATAATTTAAAAAAACGCGTAGTAAATCCGACAATTTTTTTTTTATTTAAATGAATAGTTGCGAACGTCTTAGATCTCATTGATGACGTTTGTTACAAAATGTAAATAAAAAATTTGAACAGGTGTGAAAAGTAGCTTTTATACTTTTTACTTTATACATTTAAATATTTAAAACTGGAGTGCCAGTTGACTTTTGTGTATGTTCACTAGAAATGAAATAAGTGTATGAGCACTATAAATCACTAACATCATATTCAAATGCATTTGTAAGTATCTCATAAACAAAAAATATGATTACACATATGGAAATGTTAAGAATTTAATATTTATTGTATATAAATTGTACAATAAATCTTTCGTATTTTTTTATAACGTGATGATTTCAATATTATTGGATTATTAGAATGTATAAATACTTATTGTGATTAAAATATATTCGGAATATTGTTTTAATTTCAACGTTTTTATTTAATTGAACTGTTATTATTAAAAAAATATATTATACTTTTGTCTTTCAGTGTTCCGTTTCTAGTTTTTTAGTACTTTTTGGAAATCGTATGAGTTGATCTAAGATTTGGACCAATTTTGGACATGCTTATACAACTGGAAGTTCTGGAAAGCCGTGGATTGAAATGGATTACAGCCAGAGCTTCGTTTGGTATATACGTCAGGTAGGACTAGTCTTCCTATTCCAATGTTTCTAATTATATTTTCACAATTTTTGCAACAGAAACTGCCTCGAAAGAATGGCCTTGCCGTCGGAATTGTAACTATTTTGTTTATCAATCACCAAAAACACATGCAATGTTTTAAAGTGAAAGCAAACTAAAGTTAATATTATAAAATATGTAATATATTCATATGACACCAAATAAAGAGACAAAAAATCATATTATTTGAAATGTTATTATAGTTATGGTAGATTTAAAATTAAATTAATGAATCTGATTATCGATTTAGTTGAATGAATATATTAACTATTAAGGGTAAAATGTGTCGTCGTCAAATTATAATTCGAATCTTAAATGAACATGTAACTTATGTACAAAGATTAATTGAATCTAAAATAACTAAAACATTTTTAAAATAAATAATATAAAGAAAAAATTCCATAATCGAGGTCGGCAACGCATCCGCAATATCCCTTATCTTGCAGATGTCCATGGGCGACGGTGGCTACCTTCGATCACATGAACCATCTGCTCGTTTGCCACCTTAGTTATAAAAACTAATAACAAAGGTATAGTTTAAATATATTAGGTGTCACTTAAAATTTTGAATAGTGTAATGCTAAATAAATATATGTAATTAATAAAACCTATAT